AAATTTTTTTTTCCCCCTTTTGGGGGGGTTTTTTTCCCAAGGTTTGTCCCCCCCCCTTTTTTCCCCCCTCCCATTTCCCCCTCCCAGGGGTAACTTTTCCCCCCCCCCCCCCCCTCTGAACAAGTCAATTTCGTTTCACAACCTTGGTTTGTCTGTCCAATTTTTTTGCCTTGCTTTCTGTCTTTCTGTCCTTCTGTCGGTCTGTCTGTCCATTTCTGCCCCCCCCCCCCTCCTTTGAGCTCGGCACGTGACTCGTCCGTCTCGCTTTCCTTTTGTCCCGTCGTTCTATCCTACTGCTCTGCCTCTTGTCATGTCACTCCGAGCTACATATGTGTCTCACCGTGTGGTCGTCGCTCCCGCTGGCCACCTCGTACGCACAGGGGGAGAAGTCCATGCACGTGATGCGCTGGGAGAGGAATGAAAAAGAAGGGAACAAGTCGTATCGAAATACGAAATAAACTGGGGTGTGATACCGTATTTTCTGAAAATAAGACCGGGTGGGGGCGGCCTCGGATTGAAACAAATGGAAAAGAACAAAAACCATAAAAGCGAGAACCAAGAGAGGGCGGGAAGGACGCCGCGCGGATACAACGAAAGGAACGTGTCCGACAACATGTTTTTCGTCAAGAGCTCTACGTCTCAGCGGTGTACCTCTCGGGTGCGTTCAACTCGATTACCCTCGACCGGAAACGACGGTTAACTCGCTACAGCGAAGAGCAGCAGTACAGCGGTCCAGGAGAGGGGACAAAGTACCAACAAGAACACACAGAGGTTGGACAACGGTGGAGGTCGAACACCACAATCTCTCTTCCTACACACACAACAGCCGCACACCACACACACCTTCACGTGCCCCTCCATTGTCCACACGCTCTTGCCCGACCGCAGATCCCACACACGGCCCACCCCGCCTAGGTCCCCGGTAGCCACCAGAGCACCGTCCTGGAACAAGCACGAAAACAGGAAACATGAGAACGGTCAAACACCTGACCGGTCCCCTGTAGTCTTGCAAAATCACTTTCTGTGAGTTCTAGATCTCTGGGGGGGGGGGGGGGGGTGACCATGATGGTTCTGTGGATGGAATAAAAAAAATGCTGGAATGAAGTAGTAGCGGAGGGATGGTCGCCGCCACCGCGGTCATCTCCCGCCTCAAAGCCCTAGGTATTCCCCGAACAATTAATGGAAGCAAATCAGGAAACTGGCGACGACCTACCAAGCACACCCACGATAAAACCCGAAAATGTTGTCAACACCACAACGGGTTTGTTGTCAACACCACAACGGCGTTGGTTGGGACTAGCTCTGGGTTGGACGGATCGTATCTCACCGCTTGGGAAAGAAATCCCGTACACTTCCTTGTGGTGGCCGTCCTGTCAAGGGGATCATGCAAAACCAAGCAGAGGGCAAAAACAAAAGGAGAACATGAGATAAGTTCATTGTAGAAACCGAAGGCAAGAACGAGAAAATAGGAGGAAAACACAGAAGGAGGCGATACACAAAAGGAGATCGTGGTGTCGTTGCCGGACAAGGGGCGCAAATTCCAAGAAAAAATAAACTAAACAAACGATAATACCACAAACAACGACAACAACAACATATATAACAACCAAAATAGTTGCACGGCATCTATAAAGTAACACGATGCAACACACAAACCCCGCTGGCTAACCTGCAAGAGCAACTCCTCCCCCGTCTCCGCGTCCCACAGTCTCCACGTGTGGTCGAAGCTCGCGGTGCCCAAGTAACGCCCGCTAGGGTGGAAACCCACCCTCGCCAGCCGCCCCGCGTGACCGTGAAAAGTCTGCACGCACTCCCCCGTGTGGCAGTCCCACAGCTTGGCCGTCCTGTTTGGTTTTCGTTTGAATTGGAATGTTTAAATTACGTAATGCACGAAGAATTCAGGCACAGGCGGTCGTGTGTGTAAGGAGGGCCCTGGTGTTCGCCTTTCATGGCTTGGTGTGTCTTGGAATAGTTTCGGGAAGAGCAGCCAATGGCGACCGCGGTAGAGGGCAATGGGTGTGTATGGGTGTGTAATGGTCGAACGGAGACGGGACATACTCTACCGTTCAATTTGAAAACCTTTGCCTTTCTCTTTCCTTTCCGGCTTGGCTAGGATTTCTACAAAAACAAGCGAGTTCGACACCGGACTGGAGGGGGGGAGTCAACGACTAGCATCCCCGTTGCAGTTTCGCCGGTTGGCAGCTTTCCTCTCTCTGCTCGGTTGGAATCGAAAGGGAGGTAACGAACGAGCTGTGTTCAGCACGAGCTACTGTGACAACTGAAAAACGTTTCCCCAACAACACGCAGCCAACACAACGAAAGAGGGGCAAAGAAGAGCACCCACAACAGTCAACAAATCACTCGGTAAAACACAACCATAATGTGAGCAACAGCAAAGAGCAAAGATTAGAACAGCAGAAGGGGCCGAATGACCCACACCAACAACTACAGCAAACGATTGCACCCAACCCACCAAGGGAAAACATGAGCGACACCCCCGAGGCCGACCAACAGCGGACTCACTTGTCCGCGGCGCCGGTTGCCAACAAGGTCTTGTCCGAGGAGTAGGCTTCCGGATGCCACGTGACGCCGGTCACTCTCTCGCTGTGCCCTCGCAGCACCTTGCGCATCTCCAGGTTCTGCGGTATATCGTCCAGGAAGATGTGAAGAGAGAAGAGCAGGTTGGCTTCGCAAAGACAAATGCTGTGGAAGTACGTACGTGAGGCGTGGTGGCGAGAAGACAACCTACGGGAAAAAAAAAACATGACGCCACAAATTCTTGTAAATACTAGATATTCATGTGAAAGCGGTGAGTCTCTCCACGGGCAAGGGGGGTCGGGCCTTGCCTACCTCAATGTCCCACAGCTTCACCAGGCAGGTCCAGCTTCCCGAAGCTACGGTGCCCCCATCCGGCGAGACCTGAAAAGGGGGCGATGCAGGAGCAAGATCAGCAGCGGCAGCAGCAGCAGCAGTAGCTCTCAAATGCCAACATTCCAAGCCTAGTATGGCAACCAGGAGCTCAGATTCGCCCAACACACAGCAACTAAATAATTGCAGTACGAGGTCACCCAACACTTGGCAGCAGTCGCGAGGTCGAGCGGCGTGCCTTGCGACTCAGCCAATTACAGTACTACGATCATACGAGAAGAGCAACAACAGCAACAACAGCAACAACAAACACCACGGCCAACGCCATCACCTCCCCAAACGGCCACCACCACCAACGACTTCACCACCAACTCCAACAAAACACAACAACAACAACAACAACAGCAGCAGCAGCATCGCCATCAGCACATATACCTGTATTGCCGACAGAGGTCGGTCGTCCGCGAACTGACTCGAGTTGATGGCTAGGTTCTTCATCGTCGAGAACGTTTCCACCGCGCGTCGGTCCACCGCCGACGTCTCCTCGGGAGTTCCACGGCGCCGTTTCGCCCCCGCCAGGCGGCTCTTGGCGCGCCCGAACGACATCGTTGCGATGGCCGCTCTTGCCTGACGCACAAAGGCGGGAGAGAGAGAGAGAGAAGACAAGCTAAATAGCCTCACGGGCTCTGGCTGACTGACCAAAGAACACTTGTCACTCAAAGTAACTGCTCGTGCGCGTGCGAGAAAACCTTGGTGGTTAGCCTTCACCCCGTGGTGTGGATACGATCCTGAAAAAACAGTCTGCTTCGCTTCTTCGACCGGGCGGCTGCTGTTGGCACGCCGCCGAACGGAAAATTGCGATCGACGGTCTTTGAGGTGATGCAACGAGCCCCCGCGCAAAAGTGCACGACGCAGAAAAGAGTCGTGCGTATTTTTTGCTTTCCTTCCATCTTTGTCGGATATTGGCCGCACATCGTACTGGGCGGCAGGGACGGCGACCCCGATCACCCGATGACGCTGCGATTTGAGCCCCGTTCCAAACGCCGTCGTAACGCAACCCTCGCACCTGCGACATCACACCAAAACAACACCACGACAGCTAAAACTCACGGCCGCCACAGCACCACAGCCGACTCAAACGCCAACACGAGCGGCACTAACCGACTACCACCAACCCCCGACGCGTGCCAACCAATCACACCATCCTACCTCCAGGAGGGCGTCCGAAGCAGGGGTGTAAACCACCTCCACTTTTTTCGCCGCCGGCGGTGCCCCCGCCGCTCCCGCCGCTCCCGCCGCCGGCTCGCCGCCCATCTGCATCTTCCTGGGCACGAAAGAGGGCTTGGGGGCTACCATGCCCTCAATCTTCTCGGCCTCCTCGTCCTCCATCTCCGACTGGTCAATTGTACGTGTTGCACACGAGCGGCGCACAACGATAGATGTGATTGGCATTGTCGTATGCATTACCGTATATGCACCAGGGGTGGGTGATTGAATGGTACATATTTCTGTGTCGTGGCTACGTACGAAACAGAAGAAGGGGATGAACAAACGCCACGGTTGGATTTCCTCGTTTTCACCAGTCAGTACGGAAAAAAAGGAAAAAAAAAAAAAACATGCAGTCGTGGCCCCGGCTTAGCGGTCCATAGTGTCACAAAGTGTTATAACCGCTTTGAGGGCATCGTCGCTAAACCGGATTGCCAGGTATACTGTAGTTTGACTACCGAAGGGCAGCCGTGCGACAAGACTTCGGGACCGCTATTCAGGGCATCCCGCTAAATAGGGAACCGCTAACCCGGGACCACGACTACAATACCATACAGGGCGCATCTTTTTCTTGTCATTCGGTCGATCGGTGACATCAGCGAGCGTCAGGGCCACGCAGAGCCACTATAGGAGGCACAAACCAAGAAGACCCGCTACTTAATTCGGCGGACAAAATTGTGATAAAAGTACCCACAAAAGCTATAATACGAAAGCAATACACACAGACACACATACCCACACGAATCTACATAAAACACACACACACACACACGTGTGTGTGTGTGTGTGTGTGTGAACCTTCCCCTACCCCCAACACCCTTTCGGCGAGGCAGAACAAACAAAATAGCACTCCCGGGGAACAGCAGACTTCAATAAAAAATCGTCGCTATTGTAGTCCCTTGCTACCGCGACGTTTCTCCCGCGGGGCAACAAAAAGGCAACGTGAGGAGATGCTGTGCAATGGCGGCTACGTTACTAGCACGTGGGAGACGAGACGATGGCAGGTCTTACCGCCGCGATGAATCTCCGGAGACGCTCCCGGATGTCGGCGACGTTCTCCGAGAAGAGCCGAACAGGCTGCCCCAGCTGCCTGTCATTTTGGGGGTGGGGCGGACAAAAAAGACGAAGCAGAAATGAGGCAAGGGAACGAGGACCGAGCAAACGGACCAAGCGGCAGCAACTGCATGCGAGAATCAAGGGCAGAGAAACAGCCGCGTTTGGTGCCGCCAAACCCGGAGCGTTCTTCGCTTAGAATGCGCGAGAGGGCGCACACGGGAGTACACCAATTGTTTCGGGGGCACGCGGCACGCATGCCGAGGGAAAATAACAAAGCGCACACCTGAGTTTCTTGGCGACGTCTTCGGTCTTGGTGGGCACCACCATGGTCCTCGCGCGCCGATCCGCCTCCACCTGCTTGAGCAGCCGAGCGTGCTCCTGCTGTGCCTCCTTGCTCTCCTCCGAGAGGTCCATGATCTCCGTGTCTGATCGTTTCGCGGCGTTAAGGTGCATCGCGCCAGCGCCAAGCCAAGCCAAGCCAAGCAGCAAGGTGGAGAGTCTGGTCAGAAACTTCGCAAGGGACCATGCACGGGGTGGAAAAGCTAAACATCTGTGGCAGTGATGGGGGATACACGCCACCGTTTGTTGTCCGCCTGCTCGAGCTCGTTCCTCTCACAGATACCGTAATCTCCGTTTGCGGTTGTTGGTACATCAAACCAAAAAAGACGAGCAGAAATCGGTCGACCAAAAGCGGCTTGTCACTGTTGGACAATTTTGGGAACGGGGGATACAACGCTCTCCGTGTATCAGATTGAACTCCTGCTGCTGCCCCAAGCTTTCTTCTCTCCGACAAATCCAGGATACTCATCCGCACGAGTACTGATGTGTCCATCGAAAACAGGTCCGGCAATTTGCCCGGAGAACAAGGTTGAGGCCAAAACAGGTCATGCATGCGGATTTTCACCAACAGGAATGCTGTGGTGTTGCTACAACTCTTTGCTTGAGGTGGTCTCAACAGCAAACGGTTTCAAGCGTGGTTGGTGTGCCTGCTCTCTCTCTCTGTCTCTGTCTCTGTCTCTGTCTCTGTCTCTGTCTCTGTTTCCCTGTCTCTCTCCCTCCCTCCCTCCCTCTCCCTCTCCCTCTCTCTCTGCTTCTCGCTGGCCAGGCCCATGGCTCACAGGCTTGTTTGCTGCGAGAATCAATATCTAGACACAAGGATGTACGTGGATTCACTCTACTCCAAAGTTTTTTTTTGTTGTCGAACGGTAGAGATGGAGTGGTATTCATTGACGTGTCAATGTTTTCGCCTTCTTCAACTTCCGGTCTCCCCAAGGTCTCCCACAAAATGCGAGGCATCTCCGATTCGACGGAGCCCCGTTCCACTAGTTAGACTTGTACTGCTTTTTGCTTTGCCCAGCAGGCAACAAGAATATGATGCAATGTTCGTAGTCGTGGTTCCAAATGATGCTGGTTCCAACAGAAACCTCAATTCTCGGTCGGCTTATTTAATTCGTGTAGCGGAACCCAACGTAAACGCAGCTGAGATATTGTGTGGTGGCCTATAAGTCGGACAACAGGTAAGGTACATGTTTTTGAATGCATCTTTAGCCATTGGGCAAGAAATGATTCAGCATTCGAGATGTGGCACCGAAAAATAAAAACAGAGATGCGTGTGCAGCTGTTCCCACCCCTCAACGTAGTCGTTGCATAATGACATCCCTTGGTGCGCGTGGTAAGCCGCGGGTAGTGCACCAAGGATGCATACAACAAAGATCGAGCCGAGAGGGGGCTCCGTGGCATCACAGATAAACTCTCTTTGCTGCTGTTGTGTTGTTGGATTTCTGGCTTCGCTGCACTGCTCCTTAGGACCAAAGGACAAACAGGCGCATCCCAGCCCACGCAATACTGCTAGCAGCAATCTCACGTTCTTGTTGGTGAATGTTGATGTTGCCGGCTTTCACCGCGGCCTTGATTGCGTCCGATCCCGACGATGCACTGTTATTGCTGGCGCCGCCAGCAGCAGCAGCAGGCGGAGGCATCTTGTCGTCTCCGTTCTTAGCCTCCTTCTCCTTTGGTTCAGCCTCCTCCGCTTTAACACCTTCCGGCGCATCCTTCATGTCGGCATCTTCAGACATGGCTGTCACCCGATGATCGTGGAAGAGCTGAGAGGCAGTGCAATGTGTAGCAGTCGAAGGTGCTCTGTGCTGCGGCAGGTGGGAGAAGGGTGGGAGAAGTGGGGAGCAAGAGCTCCCACCGCAGGTACCCTAATTGGTTCGATCCGGGTTGGCGGCCCCCCTCAATCATCTCCTTGCATCTCCCGACAGCCCGGGCGCCCAGGCAACCTAGCGCTGGATGAACGCTTTCCTCCGACGCACTCGCCATCTATCAAGACCCGTGCGTGCTCGCCTTTCGGTAGCCCCACCCGGCTTGTTTCCGTCAAAATACGTTTCTCCTCTCTCATTCACCTCCATCATATTGTTGGGTTCAACATCACCACCTGCGGTAACAACAACAATGGCGGATTTTTCCGACAAAGGATCATCTACATCATCCGCCGACTGGAGCGACGAAGAAGGGGACGAGTACCTGGCCAAGGCGCTTGCTTCCGACGAGTACCTCCAAGGTGCGTGTGGTGCGACGACTCGCTGTGCGATAACTTCTCCCCGGCCAGCTCTCGGTCCGCCTATCGAACGACACATGTTCTTATTGGGGGGGGGGTTCGTTTCTCCCGGCAAAGAACAAGCTTCTTCAAACAGCAAGTATGCGGCCGCGGGTAGGTGCGTAGGTGCGACCCCCACGCCGTTCTCTGTGTGCGGACTTTCGGTCCTCTCCATCGGCACCACTTGCCAATGGAGGAAGCTCACAGGACCTTGAGCTATCTCACTCTTTCTAAATAGGTTACACTGCTGCTGTGTAATGGTGTGCCGCCCTTACCTGTACGAGCGCGGGCGAAAGGCGTGAAGCAGGTGTGCAATCGTCGATCCATTTGTACAGGTCGATCGCTCCACAAGCTAAAAGCCTGCCAATCCCGACAACGTTGGCGACGAAAAGATCTGGTCGAGAGCGTACCTATGGCAGCACGTGTGGGCCGTATTTCGCGCCCTCTTTGTTGTGGGACTTAACAATCAATCTCTTAGAATCGATCGATCGCACGCTTGCTGCGCGTAGCCCAGCCCCTCACGGTAATCAACACCGGTGCTGGATTGATGCATCTGTTACGTACGATCTACTTTCAGGTATCATCCAAGATGATTTTGGGGCCTCCTTCAGTTGATTGACTTCACATCTTGGGGCGGTGCGCGCCCACTACCATCGCCGCCAAGAGGAATGTGTTGGTTTTACGCGCGGGGATTGGCAGAACACACGCCAACATGAAATAACTGCCGTCCTTGCCGCTTCGTCACGAACAACGCCGCGCAGGGTCTAGCCGTTCCTCGCCATCGACGCTCCCTCCACCGCCGCCGCCGGCAAGCATGGCTGGTGGTGCTGGAGGGACACCACAGGTTACCGCAGGAAGGGGGGGGACAATTTTGGTCCACCACCCTCTGTGTGAGCTCCACGATATCCCTGGTGAGCGAGGTGCCGAGCGCGTTTGTTGTGATTTTGGCCGGGCACGTGTGTGTTCCAGAGAGAGGCTAAACTACGCTGTCACCAGGTTATTATCCACTCTCACCTGCGCAGATCGTTGGCTATTCTCTGCGAGTTCGATTGTTGCCAGGCCAAGCGTTCCGAACAGCGTTACTCCAAGTTGCATGCAGTTCCAACTCCTCCGATACTCCATTATCCGGTCAGGCATGCGTGGTCAGGCGTGGTTGTCACTCACAGTTGGGGTAACGGCCAGTAGCGCTCAGATCAGGTTCGTTCACCAAAGCTTTCGCGATCACTTCCGGACACTTCGGCCACGGAGGCTGGGTGCCAGCCATCAGTCGGGGGAACCGTTTCATCATCGCGCGGGGAATGGAACCAATAGCAACTACTCCGTTGGTTCCGTTATTAACCCGACAGGCGGTTACATCTGTCGGAAACCCCCCTCCGGGCACTTATGGGTAATGTCCCAGTTCCCATCATAGGGACGTGTACTCCGGACGCTTGTTCCTAGCATCACAAGTGCCCGTCATCGCAATATTTAGAAACGGTGCATACCACCGTCCCGAACATGTGTGTGTGTGTCTTTGTTTTGTGTTCTTACTAACATCGACCGCGCTAACCGGCTGACCGATGAAAAGACGCCAGTCTCAGAGCGGTTGACAACGCAAAACACTTCTAAGTGCCGTTAACTAGGGACCCCGTGAGGGGGCGGCATGTGTGTGTGTGTGTGTGTGTGTGTGTGTTTTAAGGTTGCCATGGGGTAGTAGCGACGAACTCGGCGTTGTCTTTCTGGAGCTCTTCAAGAGAGAGGAGAGGTGGCCTATGGCAGCGGTTTTTATTATGTTGCTGTTTCTTGCGACGACGGTGACGACGGCATGGGGATTCGACCCCCCGAGGGTGGACGGGCCTTTGGGCTTCGGTGGCGCTCTCGGCACAAAACGAGTCGCTTTGACTGCGATATTCAAGGCCTTCCTGCTGTGAAGGGTTCGCCCTTCGCCGCTTCGCCCTTCCCCGCCCCCCCCGTGGAGCTGCGTGGTCAATGCCTCAGGACTTTAGATGAGTCTTGTGCGGGAGAACATCCCCCCAAACCTCCGGTGATTCGTCCCACTAGGGGTGCGTGGCCCAATGATCAAATGGCTGCGACAAGCAACACATGGAGGAACGCACCAAGACTTGCCAACAATGCTTGTAAAAATGTTGCCATGTAGATGAGACTAGGCGTGTGTCCCAATCCCCGCCCCGCCAGTCTATCCCCCCGCTCTTTTGCCTACAAGTCCAGGCGTCCCTCGCGAAGCAGCTAATGAAATACGGCAATGACCTCCGAGCACCTCCCGCGGACCTTGTACCCGTCGCCTAACCGTGTGGCGCATTGAGACTTTCAGATCACCCGGAGCGCCCGGGAAGGGTGCGCGCCATAATGAACGCCTTGACCAGGAACTTCCCGGACATGACCACCATGCTGGCGCCGGAGGCCACTGTAGAGCAGGCGAGGGGGGTGATACGTACAAACATGCGTGCGGGCTATGCAACGCTCGCGTGCTGATTTGTGTTCTAGCACAACCACGCGCGCTTCTTTATCACGCACGCACGCTTTCTCGTTTTCCGCCTTCCCGACACCAGCTAACCGCCGTACCACGCCCCGGCTCCCCAGCCATCTCCCCCCCGAGAAATCGCTTCCATCTAGGGGTAAGTAAGAGACACGATTTCAGTGCATACGTACAGTATTCCAACACATGGGTTCGTAAAATTTACGTGGGCGCTTTTTCCTGTGCCAGGTGCTGCGGTTCCACGACCAGCCTCACGTTGACAAGATCCTGCGGCTGTGCTCGGACTCGGAGAAGGCGGGCCGGGCGGCGGAGGCTAAGGCCTCTGCCTCCGCCTCCTCGAGGGGCAAGGGTTCGAGGAGAGGGAGTCCCACCGCTGACAGGCACGTCTCGCCGTACGCCGGGATCGTTCAGATCGACCCGGACACGGCTGTGATGCCGGCGTCTCGTGCGGCCATCTTCAGGGCGGCTGGGGCGGCGTGCTTCGCCGTGGACGAGGTGCGGTGATGAGATGGTAACCTCCAAGACACTGTGGGGGTAGTAGTCTAACCCCCCCCCCCTCCGCCCGCCCCGGTGTTTGCCATCGGGGTTTGGGTTTTCGTCGCTTGGCAACGACGTTGTAAAACAAGCCCCCCACTCGGTGTTTGCCATCGGGATTGGGTTTTCGTCGCTTGGCAACGACGTTGTAAAACAAGCCAATTCACTTCGTGAACTCGGCAACCAGGTTACTACCGTTTTTTTTTTTTGCCTCGTTTTTTTTTTTGGCGGTAACCATAATGGTGGTCGAGTAGATCATGTTGTGCGGGGTCGAGAACCCTCACTCCGCGCAACGGGGGATGATCGCACCACGTTGTGTTAAAATGGTCAAGCTTCCTCGAGGCAGTTACCCAGTGTTTACAACTGTTTTTGGAAGTGAAAGCCCCAGAAAATAAATTAAGTCATAGGTAGCTTTCATCCGTACGCAAGGAAGTAAGCCCAAGATGCCGAACCCCCTTAGCAGGATGCAGCTCCCCCTTCATGGGACTCGCCAAATCCCTCCCGGCGTTTCGCGCTTGGTGATGTGAGACCCTGGTCCGGTGAGAACCCGGGGTGTTCCGTCCCGGCTTTGTAGGGATGGGAGGTCAATGGTCAAACGATTAGGGCATGCACGATTAAAAGTCCCCCCCCCCCCCCCCCCACAAACAAGTGGCCGAGGTCCAGTTGCTGTAGAGATCATGAGGATGGTGAAGAAGCCGGGAGGATGGAAGCAGAAACTGTGGCAGGGAGACAGGTTGGAGCTGCTGCTGTTTGGAATTCCAAGGGACATGACGAGGATAGAGTTCAAGAACTGGTGTGACACGGAGGGACTGCATTGCCTAGCAAGGGGAGAAGTAGGCAGAGAGCATGAACACTTCCGGGTGAAATTGACCAAGGGAGACAGCCAAGAGTGCTTGGGGGTTGACATCGAGAAGCTGTCGAACTACGTAAGGAAGGTTGGATGGAGGGTTTGCGTCGCGAACATGATAGGAACAGAGAAGGTAAGGCGACAGGAGGCGAGGGCGATAGAGGCGAAGAAGAGACCGGGTGGGGGAGACGAGCAGGCAAATCAGAAGAACGCCGAGAAGAAGCGGAAGGCGAAGGATAGAGTGCGCAAAATCTCCAATAGGGAAAAGCACAAGCTGAGAGTGGGGTCGTGGAACGTGTGCGGGTTCGCAAGGAGTGAGCGCAAGCGGTTGGAAATAGTGGACCAAGTAGAACAAAGCGATCTGGATGTAGTGGGGATCCAAGAGACGTGGGAACTGAAGGATGGGGACGTGATAAGCAAAATAGGGAAGTACCGGTGGGTAGGGAAGGCAAGAAAGGGCTTAGACCCGAAGAAAAGGGGGGAGGGGGGAGTCGGATTCCTGGTCAAGGAACACTTGTATGACGTGGTGGAAGTAGTGGTGAAAACGGAGTTCGAGGAAAGCCTATGGCTTAAGATACCTGGGGAGCGGGGTGAGAAAGATTTGTTTCTAGGGAACGTATACGTCCCACCGTCGTCGAAGAAAGTCGCAAGCAAGGCGCAGGAGAACTTCGGACAAATTGGGGAAGATGTCCAGAGGTTCAGTAGGAAGGGAGAAGTTGTCATGGTGGGCGATTTCAACTCCAGAGTAGGGAAAGCTTGCAGTAGAGGACAGGCGATCGGGCAGCACGGAGAAGACGAAGTGAATGACAACGGAGTGAGGATGCTTGAATTCTTGGGAAGCAACGAGCTGATGGTGTTGAACGGTAGGAGGGAAAGCGATAAGCCAGAGTTAACCAGGCAGAGGGCAGTTTGCAATGAATACTCGATCCTCGACTACATCCTGGTAGATAGGGGGAGCACACAGGTCCCGGAGCTGCACGTAAGTGCGATAGATATAGGTTCGACCGACCATTTCCTCATATGGGCAAACATTCGACCGATCTAGAAAGACGGAGAGTAAGAAAAAGAGGAAAGTGTTCCGGTGGAAAGTAGAGCGTTTGGGAGACGAGGGGACACGCGATGAATTCCAGAAGGGATTGGCTGGTAGTGTAGAACCCTTCAGGAAACTGCTGAGAAGCGTCGAAGACGGAAAGGTAGACGTACAAGCAGCAGGGGACAGGGTGATTGAAGGATGGGAGTCCATAGTGAACACAACGGCAGAGAGAGTAGTGGGAAAGAAGGTGGTACGATGTGGGGTATCGGTTAAGTGGTGGGATGACGAGCTGAAAGAAGAAATAGGGGAACGTAGAGAAGTCTTCAAGCAGTACCTGGGTGAGGGGTCTGAAGAGAGTTGGGAAAAGTACAGGGCCAAGAGGAAACAGGTGAAGGGACTAGTGAAAAAGAAGAAAAAGAGCATTTGGGACGAAGTAGTGCAGAAGGCCAACGGACGCCTGGAGGGGAACGTCAAGCAGATGTGGGAAGGGATTAGTGGGATGGTAAAAAAGACCGCGCAAGGGGGGGATACAGGGGTAGCAACATTGCGAAGTGTGAACGGTGGACTAGTCAGCAGTGGGAAGGGAAAAAGGGAAGTTCTAGCAGGACACTACAAGAGACTTGGAGTGCCTTCGGAGAATGAAGATTTTGACCAAGTGTTTAAGAAGGAGGTGGACGCATGGGCCCAGAAAGAAGAAGAGACATCGAAGGCAGAC